ACTTGGTGCATCTCATCCCTATTTTGTACTAACCAGCACATTATTAGGGCATCATAAAGAGCAGGCCTACCCTGAGCTTGGGCTTCCCAGCAGAAAATTCTTTCCTGTTCCCCCAGCATCATGGCTGCCTGAGAGGAACCAACCATGTGAGGCACATGGAGGAGACAGTTCGGCTCTGTGGACTTTTATAGCCCCATAAATGACAATACTAACAATTTACTAACTTTTGATAAAGACCAGCTTCTTGGGAATTGCTGATACCTCTATTTCTATGGGAAATGAATCTCGCTGGAAGCTTTGCTCTGCTGCTTTCTGAGCACATGAAAATGCTGCTGAAATTCCTAATTGCAAATTAGACTTTTGACAGGGGAAAGCAGAGCAGACGGGTTGAAATAGCCTTAAAGTGCTTTTCTCTTCCGGATGGCAGAAAAGTTCATAATCTAGACAAATTAACTGATTGGAACAAACAGTATTAAGGCAACACTGTGAGATGTTGTGGCTGGCAGCTGGTGGCCAGACGCTAGAACATACTTAACCAATTAGAGCTGTCCCCTGCACCAGCCAAAACGTACATTTAGAACAACTGAGATGTGATCTGGGACATTTTGTGGTCCACATACAGCAGCTTTACCAGGTGGACCAGAAAAGCAAGATTCTCAGTGGATGAGTTCGCTGGGGCTGTAATAAACCTAAATCTGCTGGAAGTCAGTCTTTGAATAGCTTATTGGCTGAACCACTCCAGGTTTAGCTAAAGCTGTCTTTTTTGGCTTTATAGTACTTCAAGGAGATTTTGGAGGCATTTTGTGATTACTGATGCCTTTTCCATACTTAAAAAAGTAAGCTGAGGATCTTTCAGAATATTCTTTCTCTGACACTGCAATAGTTACACTTACAGAATAATTATTCCTGGTACTCATACAGTACATTCCATCGGCTTTCATAACAAGTTCAAAGAATTAACAAGCTAGAGGTTAATTTTCAAATTCAGCTTCAGTGACTCAGCAGTCCTAAAAAAACAATCATTTGTCTGTGTTCTTTGCCTACAGTCTTAGGTATTTAAGTCACTTATATCTGAAAAAGTGAGCTGTAGATACTTGAGGAAGAGCTGGGAAGGGATCACAGATCCCTTAGTCAGAACACTTAGTCATGTATCTTTGCCAAAATACTGTTTCATCTTAAGCCTCAATGATATGAGTGAAACTTTTTCCCCCTAATATAGCATGGGAATGCTGGCTTGCTAACACCCTGGCAGTACAGTGTGCACAGTGGAGAGTCCAGGGATCTGAGAGCAGCATTTTCTCTCCCTAATGGCTCATGGCTTAGGAAAATGATTTGCCTCGGATTTCTACCTGTCCTCAAGGAAGAAACACAGAGTAGCAATGGCATTGTTAAAATTAATCTGTCTATTCATTGAGTACATTAGTTTAATTTCAATTCTGAGATTAATGAACCTCACTCTTGATGCACAGACTCATGATTCATTCTGAATGTTTATACTGCCTAGATATCCCTATAGTTACACACCTAGTGTGACCCTACTATCCAAACACTTCAGAATTATTAATGAATTATGCTTTCAACACAGAGCCATAAGGAAGCAGTACTCAAATGTATTCCCTTTGCAGAAAGAAATCAAACTATAATGCTGAAATCCTAATTTCACTGATTCTTAATGCCTTGAACCTGTAACATTTCACATTTCCTCTTAAATCAAAAGCACTCTACCTGATTTTAGTTGTGTACTTTACAGTAAGGTGACTTATGCCTTAGAAATGCCTTTCTCTTATTTGCATGGACTAGGAAAGCCTGGACAGCTCAGCAGAGAAAAAAAAAAATTATATCTGCAGGGTAGGTGCTTGAGGTTAGGTTAAAAATACCAGTCAGGGAGTGGAAGAGAGGGTGTGGCACTGTGCTGCTCATGCACTTGAAGACAGGAGGGAATCAAAAGTGTGAGACATCACAGGTTTCAGGAGAACTCCCAAATAAACTCTCCAGAGTATTCTGGCCAATTTACATATTGTACTACCTAAAATTAGGGGGGGAAAAGGCTCTGGTAACTTCACACATCATTGAAATGAACTCCCTTAGGAGTTTGGCTTGGCTTTTCAGCAGTGTGAAATCTGTTTTCACTTTCTAAACAAAATATTACAAGAAAAATAGAAGTAGAGGCAGAAAAAGGTGAGGTTTGTGAGTTCATAGCTATCCATTTGACTCAGAGGACTGTACTCAATGGGTTTGCTAAAAATATATTCATTAAATCTATTTAGCAGTTTTATTATTTTTGAAGTGCATATCTACAAAGCAAAATATTTCAAGACTGTTTCTAATTTACCTTTTGAGCCAACTTTAAAGAAGTAGAAAAAAATACTCAATAAATTGCTTTCCAATAATAAAACAAGTTTACTGATGTTTACCAGATGCCTGTCTCTGACTAAATTCAAGAGAACCCAATATAATCATAGAGTCACTTGTGCTCCAGAATCCCTTATCGGCACATAACTCCTCAGACTGCTCCTGACTGTGCCACATGAAACAGCAGCAGTGGGTAATAGTCAGTGTCCTGTACAAGGCTTGGTAGTCTCCCAGTGGCGTCCCTGATACGAGCACCTGTAAGCAGCACACCTCTCTAAGCAGAGTGCCTCAGGTCTCCAGATGGGTGATCCCACACCGCTTCTCTTTCTAGCAGGAAGGCCCAAACCAGCACACAGGATTCCAGGTGCAGCCTCACCACTGCTGAGTACATGGGGACGGTCACTGCCCTGCTCCTGCTGGCCACATCATTGCTGATCCAGGCCAGGATGCCATCAGCCTTCTTGGCCACCTGGGCACTGTGCTGGCTCATGTTCAGCTGTTGTCAGCAGCACCCTCAGGTCCTTTTCTGCCTGGCAGCTTTTGGGCCCTGTCCCCAGCCTGTAGCACCACCTGGGGTTGCTCTGACCCAGGTGCACTTGGCCTTGTTGAACCTCATGAAAATGGACTCAGTCCATCAATCCAGCCTGTCCAGACCCTTCTGCAGAGCCTTCCTGTCCTCCAGCAGATCAACACTCCTGTCCAACTTGGTGTCATCTGCAAACTGACTGGGGGTGCACTTGATCCCCTTATCCAAACCCTTGGTACACATATTAAATAGGAGTGACTCCAGTACTGAGCCAAATAATTCTATTTCTTTAGCCTCCATTTGACAGGCCAGCCATTTGACTGGATTGAGTTAGACTGAGATAGGCATTATCTTACATACATAATGAACATATTTTCAGTTATTACTGAAATTGCTAAGGTCCAAATAATAACTTTAAGTGACTGAGAAGGAACTTTAGCCAACCATGACTCATTGCTCGAGCTGTCTAGCTGAGAACCTTCACATCCTATCCACATCTAAATCAGGGGGAAGCAGACACTGCTTGCTCTTTCCTAGCTGTCTGCCTCTGCACTGCATTACTGTGATGTTTAAAATCATATGTAAAATTTACTGTTATCTCCTGCATATTGTGTAGCCTTATCAATGATTTCTTTCTTTTCCCCTTCCACCTTCCCCCAAGTTTTGCTATTCCTGACACCTCATCAGGATTTAAGCATATGAGCATATGAAGCTGATGATGCAGCCTTCATATAGGCAGCGGTTGTTTATCCCAAGTGGGCTCAGTGCATGGCTGGGTTTAGGTTTAGGCAAGACAAAGCTTCTAAGTGCCTCAGGAGCTAGTTTCACAGTGTATTCCCTGCTGGTTTTTTTTTTTTTTGGGTTTTTTTTTTTTTTTTGTTCTTTCATATGCAGAGGTCAATACTTTTGTAGAGTTTATCCTTTTAAATCAATGTCAGCTGACTTAAACTTAGATCAGCTTACTCAAAGTCTGATGGTATTTGAAGCTGAAAGAAGAATGTGTGTAAGCAGGGGATTTCATGCTGAAAGTTGGCCATTAGTGTAGATCCAGGCTCTGTTAAAGCATTTTACAGCTTCTTTAGTGTCTACATACAATCTGACAGTGGATTTACAACATGCTGTGACAGCCCCTCCAGCAGGACAGTGCCATTAATCTTCAGGCAGACTACTGAGATCAGCACCGGTTTAGTTTTCAGATCCCCAAATCCAGGATCCTGTGCCCAGCAGGACTGTGATGGAATAAGCTTGTTCCAGAGCCACAGGCCTTGATCTCAGCCTGGACTCCTCTACCTCATATTTAATCAGAATACTTTTCACAGTTCCTCTGAAGCCTGTGATGTGGTGACTGAAGACATAGTCAAGCATTTAAGCACGTGATTAACCTAAAGTGCTTGTAGGGAATTGCTGACTTCAGGAGAGCTGCTTGTACACTTGGAGTTAAAATGCACTCAGGTGCTTAGTAGTTCAGTTAATTATCATTAAATACCTGCAACACAGCAACGTGGAGATGACACAACCACAGGTGTACTGCAAAATACATCTCCTGGAGCAGTAACAACAAATCTTGGCTTTAGTTGCACCTTTAAAGTACATATTTCAACATTAAACCATGAGGATATTTGACTATTATAGAAGACCACGATAGACTCAACATGCAAAACAGGAATACATTTCCAAGATGTGCCTGCTTCCCACAGAATAACTGTAAAATAAATAAAGAAATGAAACAGATGCTGGTAGTTAATTACAGAGTATTGAAACCTTTGTTAGGGAAGGGGCCAGAAGTGAAAAATTAAAAAATAAAATAAAATAAAATAAAATAAAATAAAATAAAATAAAATAAAATAAAATAAAATAAAATAAAATAAAATAAAATAAAATAAAATAAAATAANAATAAAATAAAATAAAATAAAATAAAATAAAATAAAATAAAATAAAATAAAATAAAATAAAATAAAATAAAATAAAATAAAATAAAATAAAATAAGCTGGGTTTGGTTTGTTGGTTTGTTTTGTTTTTTTTTCCTGTGGAGTACGGGCAGGAACCCATGCTGGGGTCCTGCCCGCAGAGGACACACACGCAGGCCCCCCTGCCGTTCTCGGGGAGGGGGATGCGGGGGATGCGGGGGATGCGGGGGATGCGGGGGATGCGGGGGATGCGGGGGATGCGGGGGCTCAGGCCAGCGGCTCCCGCGGGGCAGCAGCGGCCCCTGCCGGCCCCGACTCCCGCTCTCGTCCTGGGGTCACAAACATATTTTTTTGTCAGTAAAAACCCCCAGACAGGCCGGGACTGTGAGAGGGTCCGGCCCTTCCTTCCCCCCGGTAATGCCGCGGGTGGTGGCAGCGGTGCTTTTCTGTGCATTTGCCTCGCTTATTCTCTTTGAAAAATACAAAGAAAGAGCAAGTTTGGCTGACAGTTCCCTCATCAGTGCACTGACAATAGTGATTTCCAGGACGGGTTAAATTATGTGGGGAGAGGTAGGAAAGGAGGCTGAGAGGAGATGCGAAATGCAAGACACTTTCCG